CGCCCTGCTGGGGGGGGGTGTTTGAACACCCCCCCTTGTGGTTTTTCGCGAATATCTCAAAAACGGCGGCGCGGAGCGCCGCCGTTTTTGGTACACCTTATCATACATCAATTCTACACATGTTGTGAAAATTTCAGACCAAGGTCATTTAAGGTCAGGTCACCAGGTCACTTGAAGTGACCTCACCTCATAAAAAGTTTCAATGTCTGTCATAGCTACACCGAGTGACCGATCGCTTTGAAACTTTCAGCGATTGCTAAGAGCAATAGCATGTACAAAATGTATATCTCAGAATTTTGATATCGATGACCTAAGGTCAGGTCAATTTTGCGACCTCCCCATTATAAGTCAATGGGAGAAAATTGAAATGCGCCTCTTTTGGACAAAAGACATTATAAACACACCCAGACACCGAATTACAAGTGGTTTAGACACACTGAACATGAAAATGGTGTCCGTGACCCTTGTTTATGCCCTGAGGTCATCTTAGGTCACGAATGGTATCTAACAGTTTCTCGCAAATAACTTTTGATAGAGGCATGCTAGAGCGATGAAAACGCCTTAGATGTGTTCAGCTCGACGATACGGATCGACTGATATGCAATATGACCCTTTCCGGTCAGGTCATGACCTTGACCTGAGGTCAAATTTTCAAGTTGACCTTTCAAGGTCAACTTATAGTTCATTCGATGCGTCTTGACGAGAGGAACACAATGCCGGTAAAAGTAAGCTCGTACAAGGCTTGGGTCAAAAGTTATTGCAGAAAAACTGTTTCCGAAAAAATCAGCTATTTTTGCAGTTTTTGCCCTCTGCAGGCAAAACCGTTGACGTTAGGTCAAATCTGAGGGAAATACTCAGAAAGGGCTTTAATAGGGCTATCGAATGCGCTTTTCCGCGGCGCTGTAGCTCTATTGATTCTCGAGTTATGCGTTGGCTTCTTGGAAATTTTCGACATTCGACCTGGAAATCGGCGAAATTTTGCCTTCAATGACCTCTGGTGACCTGACCTTTGACCTGACCAAAAAATTGACCGGAGTGATTTCGTCATTATTTTTGACGCTCTTTCGAACGCCGCCTTCTGCGTATCGCTACGTGGCCCAGGAGCCGAGTTACAAGGGGGGGTGTTCAAACACCCCCCCCCCCAGCAGGGCGTGGAAATCCAGGACCCCCAGCCGGGCGCGGGTTAACCCTCGCGGGCCCGGGGGGGGCGTTTTTCGCCCCCCCCTGGCGAATATTTGCGATAGCTCCCGAACGCTTAGGGATAGGAAAGCGAAACTTTCAGTACCTTTTCTCCCATCAATTTGACATCTTCTAAAGTAAAAAATTTGGACCTAGCCCCCTTGATGACGTCACAAGGTCCATTTTTCTAGACCTCTGCACGACAAACTTCGGCGTCACAGACGCAAACTTCAAATAGCTGCTAAAATAGAGTTTTAGAGATAAAGACAAATTACGAGCCCGGATGTGTAGCGTTTGACCTAGAGAAAAATAGAAAAATAGTTTTGGTGACCTGAGTTCAGAGGTCAGGTCAGCGACCCCGAAATGTGGTTTTAATTTTTCGCAAATAACTTCGACAAAAATGGTCCTAGAGCTACGGCAGTGGTACCATCGCATTTGCCTATATATATATATATATATATATATATATATATATATATATATATATATATATATATATATATATATATATATATATATTTGTGTAATTCGGCAAAAGTTCCTCTTTTATGGCCGTTTCATTGAAGACCAATGCACTTTTCGCTTTCACCAACTGGTGAAAGCGAAAAGTGCATTGGTCTTCAATGAAACGGCCATATATATATATATATATATATATATATATATATATATATATATATATATATATATATATATATATATATGGGGAGGTCGCAAAATTGACCTGACCTTAGGTCATCGATATCAAAATTCTGAGATATACATTTTGTACATGCTATTGCTCTTAGCAATCGCTGAAAGTTTCAAAGCGATCGGTCACTCGGTGTAGCTATGACAGACATTGAAACTTTTTATGAGGTGAGGTCACTTCAAGTGACCTGGTGACCTGACCTTAAATGACCTTGGTCTGAAATTTTTACAACATGTGTAGAATTGATGTATGATAAGGTGTACCAAAAACGGCGGCGCTCCGCGCCGCCGTTTTTGAGATATTCGCGAAAAACCACAAGGGGGGGTGTTCAAACACCCCCCCCCCAGCAGGGCGCGGGTTAACCCGCGCCCTGCTGGGGGTCCTGGATTTCCACGCCCTGCTGGGGGGGGGGTGTTTGAACACCCCCCCTTGTAACTCGGCTCCTGGGCCACGTAGCGATACGCGGAAGGCGGCGTTCGAAAGAGCGTAAAAAATAATGACGAAATCACTTCGGTCAATTTTTTGGTCAGGTCAAAGGTCAGGTCACCAGAGGTCATTGAAGGCAAAATTTCGCCAATTTCCAGGTCCAATGTCGAAAATTTCCAAGAAGCCAACGCATAACTCGGGAAACAATAGAGCTACAGCGCCGCGGAAAAGCGCATTCGATAGCCCTATTAACGCCCTTTCTGAGTAATTCTCTCAGATTTGACCTAACGTCAACGGTTTTGCCTGCAGGGGGCAAAAACTGCAAAAATAACCGATTTTTTCGAAAACAGTTTTTCTGCAATAACTTTTGACCCAAGCCATGTACGAGCTTACTTTTACCGGCATCGTGTTCCTCTCGTCAAGACGCATCGAATGAACTATAACTTGACCTTGAAAGGTCAACTTGAAAATTTGACCTCAGGTCAAGGTCATGACCTGACCGGAAAGGGTCATGTTGCATATCAGTCGATCCGTATCGTCGAGCTGAACACATCTAAGGCGTTTTCATCGCTCTAGCATGCCTCTATCAAAAGTTATTTGCGAAAAACTGTTAGATACCATTCGTGACCTAAGATGACCTCAGGGCATAAACAAGGGTCACGGACACCATTTTCAAGTTCAGTGTGTCTAAACCACTTGTAATTCGGTGTTTGGGAGTGTTAATAATGTCTTTCATCCAAAAGAGGCGTATTTCAATTTTCTCCCATTGACTTATAATGGGGAGGTCGCAAAATTGACCTGACCTTAGGTCATCGATATCAAAATTCTGAGATATACATTTTGTACATGCTATTGCTCTTAGCAATCGCTGAAAGTTTCAAAGCGATCGGTCACTCGGTGTAGCTATGACAGACATTGAAAGTTTTTATGAGGTGAGGTCACTTCAAGTGACCTGGTGACCTGACCTTGAATGACCTTGGTCTGAAATTTTCACAACATGTGTAGAATTGATGTATGATAAGGTGTACCAAAAACGGCGGCGCTCCGCGCCGCCGTTTTTGAGATATTCGCGAAAAACCACAGGGGGGGGGTGTTCAAACACCCCCCCAGCAGGGCGCGGGTTAAAGTAGATAACTAGGCCGTTTCCGCTACAATCAGAGCTGTCTTCCCGTAGAAGACCACTATGGACTACGGCACAAAATTTAACAGCGTCATCTCTTTGTAGACAGCTGGGGCTGAAAAATCCCGCCGGTGCGACAGCCGGTGCGTTGTGAAGCGCCATAGACAACGCAGGAAAAACGGCGACAGCGCGACAGCTCGTCCCCGCTCGTCGCCGCTTGAGCGGTGGCGGGGACCGGCGCGGCCTTGGCCGCCGACGGAGTAGGGAGGGACCGGGCGACTGGGACGGGGGACGTCACATCTGGGCCATAAAACGCAGTTCACACATGACCGTCAGTCTGTCGGTGTCGGGCCCGTCACCGTCGACCTGACGGCCTGCAGCCCGTCAAACGAAAGTTGAGATTTGGTAGCTCCCATTGGCTGCCATATGTTGTGACAGAAATGGCGCACCATTTTCGAGATGGACGCAGATGGGAGAAGGGGATTGGGGAGGGTAGAGGCCGAGAAGTTAAAAATATTCTTTGAATTACAGAAATAAAATACCACGCTTTTACATTTTTATGTCAAATAATGCTGCAATTTTATTTTAATGAAAGACACATCGGTTCGCTGACTTAAATCAGGGATCGAATCTCAAGATATCGTGCCGTAATAAACACTTTCATCTCAACAAATGGATAGAAAATGATATAAATTATCTTAAAAATGCATTTAAGCTTCATGCTGCATGATAACTTTCCTTTTCCTCTTCCTCCAACACGCAGACATTCAAACCGACGGGCCCGTCACCGTCAAAAGTTGAACATTGCTGAACTTTCCAAAGCGACGGCCGTCAGGTCCGGCGCCGGCGCAGTCAGCTGTTGCCGGCCGTCAAACGCTGCCGGTTCACACATGCCCGTCGACCTGACGGCCGTCGCTCCGTCGGTTTCGGCCGTTTTGACGGTGTCGGGCCCGTCACCGGCAGACCTTACGGGCAAGTGTGAACTGCGTTTAACTGGGACGAGGTCCATTACCATCGGTCCCAGAAACTTGGTAGGAGAGTTGCTCATTGGTCTTGACTACTGAAGCAAAGACAAGTGAATCAGTGACAACTGACAATCCTTTCGTGAGTTCTGATTGAACTGGATCAGGAAGCCAGGACGAGCTAGGAAGTCGATCAGACCTATAGGTAAGTTTAATGATAGTGATTAATTTTTTGTTGTGTAACTACTGAAATGTGGTGATGCGTTGTAATGCCCAGAGGCTGAAATTTGAAAGATCAGTTTATTTCTAACATTCTAGCCTCATTTTCAAATTTACTTTTTTAGGCCTCAAAGGTGATGAGAAAACGACAAAAAAATGGTAGGTACCTACTGTTCCAAGATGACTTGCGAACAATTGGCGACAGCTAGATGTGGCCAACCTATAATAGCCTCTGGAAAAATGTTTGGTCACAATGTGTACAATTGATGCCCGGAGGGGTCTTTAAAGTTTGGTAGCGATATTTGCAGCCGTGTAGGAGATATCGACGGAAAAGGACAGGGAGGGCCGTTTCGCCCCCCCCCCCCTACGGGCCACGGGTTAAGCACTTTGCCATTTTTTTCAGGTTCACCACTTCGATGAAATTCCTGAGGAGGGAAAAGAGAAGGCTGGCAACGACACGAATGGAATGGTCAACTACATCACTGGCGAGATCCCGACACTTCTTCTGCACGTGTGGCTGGCAGTAGCAAGCATCAGCAGCGATTTGAACACCTTGAGTCGCTTCTACACGGAGTCAAGACCTCCAAAGAAGTGAGTTTGATATCTGACACAAGATTTAAAGAACCCTAAACCTCTCACTTTTTTACAATCGCTTGTTTTTCACCATTCATTAGTCGATAAACCCTAAACGACAAACATTAATTAGATCAAAAGTTATAAGCGAAAAACTCTTGACCTGTTTTGAGCGAAATTTTTAATTAACCTGCGCCCCACTGGGGTCTGTGTATAACACGCCCCACTGGGGGGGGGGGGGGGCTATTCATATTCATAGCCCCCCCCTCCTAACTCCGAAACTACTGGGCTGATCGTCAAAGCATCGTCAAGCCTCGGAAAACTGTCGAGCGAAAGCTAATTTCATTGACCTCGAGGTCACCGATGACGTCACAGGTCAGGTCAAAGTAAAAATTATCGATATTTGGCTTGTTCACTTTTTGGGCTCTGGCTGCCGTCTTACGAGTCAGATCAGGCTGATTTTTGGTTTACACACTTGTGAACAGATGCTTTAGATACCCTGAGGGTACGAAACTTCTACTTTGATTTTCAGGTCAGGGTCAGGTCATCATAGGTCACGGAAATTTTATGTCATAAATCGGTCACGTGACACATGTTTATGGTCCATTTAGGCCATAGATTTCGAATTCGGTGTCGCCTGTGTCATTTGAGGCCATTTTAATCTGAATATAGCTGAGGTCAGGTCACTTTCAGGTAAAAAAAAGGTGAAATTTCAAAGCTAAAATTGTTCAACAAAAACATGTCTATTGGGTGCAGTTTAAGCTCTGAAACAAGATGGTGCTATTAATATTTTATATTTATTATTTATATTGGTGTACGATGTCAAATTCGTACAAAAAAAACGATTTGAAAAATTTAAAATTGTGAAATTTCTGCTATAATGCATATAACTTAGCCATTTTTTAAGATATCTGGCTAAAACTTGCTAGAATAAGCATGTGTTCTATCATATCTATTCCGTTTTTTTTTTTGAAAAGTAAAAAAAAAATTGAAAAAAGATAAAAATACAAATTTGAATTTTAATATATATGATTTGCGAAATTTTCACAATTTTGAAAATTCGACATAACAGTTGGATAGCGCAGTTTATTCTAAGTCCTCTTATGCAAAGAAATTGGATCTAGCTCAAAAACTGAGCTCTTGGGAGCGTTTCCCGTGGTCCAATGTTTTGCGTCGAAATTGGCCAAACATGACGTCACTCTGACGTCATTTCCGGCCGACTTATGATAGATACGTAGTTCAAATTTTAACACAAGGTGTCAAATTGATGCAGGCGATGGTAATGGAAGTTTAGCGGCGATACGTCAAGCGGTTTAGAAGTTATTGCAGAAAAACAGGAGGAGGGCTATGCATAAAGACATCATATGTAACCAAAACTAACATGATATTCGTGATCAGCACCTCGAAAAACCATAGCAGACTTTACGACATTTTAACAGGTCCCAATTTTCCCGACTTTTGGGTCATTGACCTGACCTGGAAGGTCAACCAATGACTTAACCCGGCAGGCGGTGGGCCTACCAGCCACCTTCCGCGCGGTGGGGGGCATTTTTTGCCCCCCCCCCCCCCCGTATCTCCGAAACTACTGGACGGATCCGGTAAATTCAAACGGCGTTGGATAGCCCTGTCAAATTTGCTGAGAGAAACCAAATTTTATTGACCTCGGGGTCACCGATGACGTCACAGGTCAGGTCAAAGATAAAATGTTTCACCGTTCACGGGGCTTCTAGGGAAAGCGCTATAACACCGAGTAAAACGCATTTTGTCGAAAATCAGCGATAAGGCGTCAGTTGTCTAGTACATATGTTGCTATTAGAGGTCACTGGTCATACCAGGTCAGGTCACAGGTCAGGTCACCAAAGGTCACCAAGGGTCACCACATGAGCCCATTTTACTAAGGTTATGCGATGCATGTTTTTGGCCAGTTTTTTCATTTCCAACTCAATGGTGTTGGTTATAAGACCATCAGGTACGGTTTAGGTCACTTTCTGGTGGAGGTCAGGTCAAGGTCAGGTCAAAAAGGTCAAATTTCAAAGTTGATATTTTTGCATAAAATGGGTATCGAATCGATGCAGTTTGTCACGGGGAGTCTAATGGTGGTCTTTGTTTTGCGTTACGAGGTCTAGAATGGCTAAAAATTGAGTTTGAAAATTTGACGTCATCAATTTTGAACAGTTTTTTCGCTATAACTTGGCCAAAAAAAAGAGGTATCGATCTCAAATTTGGTATGTAGATAGAAGGCGGTAGGGACTATCACATATATTCCGTTTTTTTTTTCGAAATTCAAAAAACTTTTTGGATTTTTTGGCTATTATATTCAAAAAATCTATTTTTTGATTTTTAGGGGTCAAAATCCAAACAATTCGAAAAACCGAAATAGCAGTTTTGTAGCCCTTTTAATTCCACACCTTTTATGTCTGAAACATTTTTCTGTATCTCTAAAGCTGTAGGCCTGACAGCTCTTCCCGCGAAACCTTTTTTTTGGGTCGAAAATGGCAAAAATGACGTCACTCTGACGTCATTAGCGGCCAACCTATCATAGCCTTTGGAAAATTTTTGGTCACCACGTGCGCTAGCTGCTCCCGGGAGGGTACTGAAAGCTTGGTGACGATCGGCGCAGCGGTTCTCGAGATATATTGAAAAAACTAAAGGGGGGGGGGCAAAAAAATGCCCCCCCACCGCCTGGAAGGTTAAGACCTTAAAATTGGGTATCATCGGCTTACTCTCGTCATGGGCAACACGCTCGTTTTTTTCTGCGAAGCTCTTGCTCGATCAGGGGCCAATCGCGAAGGGGGTCGTACCCCCCTTGTGCCATCGAAGGACGCAAAATGGCCTGTGCTCAGTGCTGGCGAGGGTTAATGTAATCCTTGTAAAATAACTCTTAGCAGAGGACATACAGATGACTCGCTTGGATATCAGGAACAAGCTCTTGAGCACATTAAAAGGAAACAATGTTCAAAACTTCAGCGACCAAAAATCTCACCACTGACTGGAATACGATAAAAAAGAATGGCATGCTATATAGGGGATTGTATCGATGATATTCCAGCGGTCCTGCGAAGTAAACATCCTGTTGGAGTAATGATCCATGGGTGGTCTTCAAGGAAGGAACCATCCCAGATCAGTTCGGGATGGTTTAGAAGCTACCTGGAAGGTCATAAGCAACAGGTCCGCTTGGGAAATGTGTTGTCGTCATCTAAAAACATAAATATTGGTACATTTCAGGGATCTTGTCTCGGCCCGTTGTTGTTTAATATTGCCAGTTGCCACTCTTGATTTAGCATTGCATCTGCCAAATTCGGTCAATGGGTTTAAGGTTATAATGACCACATTCGCTGACAATACACAAATCGGTGTCACGGGGCTCCGCACCCGCCTCGGAGAGCTACAAACTGCCCTTAGTCAGCTGCTCGAAATTATGGGTACCTGGTTCGCTCAGAATGGAATGAAAGTAAACGCAGCGAAAACTGAGATGATACTGATAGGTGATAGGCGTCAGCTGCAGTACGTACAGTGGATCTAGTAAGGATCTCCAGACGTAACTAGATGGCGTTGAGCCTCAGTCGAGTCCATGTCAAATTCAAGGGGAGGTCAGTACCGAGCTGGGCCCGGTGGGGAGGTGGGGAGGGGCGAGGTCACGGTGCGGGTGACCTGTCAAACAGTCCCGGCGCAGCTGGGCGCTGCCGCAGGCAAAGGAGCTATTCCAGCCGGCCCGCTGTTCCATATCGCGGTGGCGGGCGGGCCTGGCGGCCGGTATTCCGGCTGCTTGAAAGGAAAGGATAAAGGCATGGGTTTGCCGTGGCCGGTTCATCTATTGTCACTTATGACGCAAAGTAATGCATATGTGTCATGTGATGTTGGTTAATGGGATGATGCTGTGGTAGGTATTATTGTTAGTAATGATAGAGATGTTGGTAATGCAGCTAGCAGTGGAATGCTAGCGAATGCTCCGAGCGTCCAGTAGCTCAAAGGATTAAGATTATTGATATATCCTGAAATTTTCATTGTAGATAATTCCAGCACCAGAAAGATCGTTCGCCATCTTTGGACTGGCTGGTGTTTCTTGCGTAGAGCGCCTTTGGGCGAATCATTGTCATGGCCGGCGATTTTTTTTTTGTAAGACGGGTCACATCGGACTAAGGCCAAATTTAGTCGCTAGAAGATATGAGGACAAGTCAAAAGTAGACGAGTATCGCATTTTTGTGTATAAAGTTTCGACTTAAAAAATTATAAGCTAAAATAAGTTAAAAAACAATAAAAAACATTTTTAAAATATGACCTGAAACTAACTTCTGTTTTGTATGACCATGATTGGGTATTAGACCCCGGTCCAGCCTGATTCGGCTCCCTCATTTACCTTTGGCCTTGGCCTCGTGACATTCGCAGACGTCAGACATGATCTATCAAACAGCTTTGGCCGAAACACTATCCAGCAAGCTGTGCAGGGGCGCAGGGCGACAGGTGCTCGTAGCGTTGGGGCTTGGTGATCTGTGTGCCGAGTGCGATGTTGTGAGTTCGAGCCCCACCCGGCTCCGGTTTTATCTAGACAATAATCAAAACCTTTCCTTCTACTGCAACACTGACAAGCACGGTGATTAATCTTTCCCCGATATCCTCTTAACAATGTCAAAATTGTCGCACCTATATATATCTATATAAATGTTTTGCTGAGTTTCATTAATTTTGTTTTGTTTTTTCTCTGGACCCATTTCAACTCGTGATTCTTTTTGACCCGATAAAAACCCATCAAAGCTGAGTGTGCCAAAGAATGAAAGAAATTATGCAACTGAATAAAAATTTAGAAAGCCTAGGACATCATGAACATACCGACTGAAAATATAGGTCCTAGATTTCAATTATCATTGGATAACATTTTTGCTGCAAGTTTAAGACATTGTCTCTCGCTTGCCCGTTTGTTTGAGATAACTATTCCATTCAGTCGCATTCTTGCTGGCTTCACATGAACAGGATACCACCATACCTGAGTGAGCGCACCCGCAACCAGCATCCCCTCCCCT